TTTTTTTTTTTTTTTAGATAGAGTCTCACTATGTCACCCTGGGTAGAGTGCTGTGACATCACAACTAACAGCAACCTCCAACTCTTGGGTTTTAGCGATTCTCTTGCCTCAGCCTCCCAAGTAGGCTGGGACTACAGGCACCTGCCACAACACCCAGCTATTTTTCAGTTGTAGTTGTCATTATTGTTTGGCAGGCCTGGGCTGGATTCAAACTCATCAGTTCTAGTATATGTGGCTGGCACCCTAGCCCCTAAGCTACAGGCTCCAAGCCTAGTTGGGTTTTCTGTTTCAGCATTTCCCTAGGCTGTAATCCACCTGTTGTGGAGGGCTGTGGTTTTATTAGAGGCTCCGCTGGAGAAAGATATGCTTTCAGGCTTCCTCATATTTCTAGCATTATTAATTTCCTTTTGCCTGTATGATTGAAAGCCCCAAAGTTTTGCTGGCTGTTGTCTGAAGGTAGCCCTCAGCCACCCATGGTTCCTGGTTAAGAAAGATTTCTCAAGATTCCTGTAAGCCAATGAGGAGACTCTGTCACCCCAATCTGCTAAGATAGAGTCCAATTCAAGGATTCATGACATCCCATGATCTTTGCCATATTCTATTGGTTGGAAGGAAAACCACAGGTGCTGCCACACTCTTGGGAATTGTACAAAGATGAGGACACCAAGAGGTAGGAAAGCATTGGGGGTCTCTTCCAGGCCCATGCACCATACAGATAGATTTGGAAATGGGATGAAGGTAAGGAAATGGATTTGAGGATGAGGCTTTTGGAGATCTACTGCTGTGTGTTCCCAAAAAAGTTACCCCAAAGCATAGCAGCGTGAAAAAACATTATCTCACATAGTTTCTGAGAGTCAGGAACACAGAAGTGGCTTAGCTGGATGGTTCTGGCTCAGGGTTCCTTATGAGGGTACAGGTAAGTTGTCAGCCAGATGACAGTCATCTAATGGCTTGATGGGGACTGGAGGATCTGCTCCCAGGATGCCACACTCGCATGTTCCTCACTGGCTGTTTATCACATAGGCCTGTCCATAGACTGCTTGAGGGTTCCCATGACATGGCAGTTGACTTTCCCCAGAGCAAGTGATTCAGAAATAGAGCAAGAAGGAAGACACAATATCTTTTATTACCTAGTCGCTTCTACCATATTCTTTTAGTTATTAAAAAAAAAGTCTATAAAGTCTATCCCACACACAAGTGGAGGGGAATTAATCTCTACTTTTTGGAGGGAAATGTGTAAAAATACTTGTGGGCATTTTTTGAAACCACCAGAGTTGATGGTTTGGCTATGGGGGCTAGGCTGGTGGTTTGAGCTGTTAGAATTTTCATTTTCAGCTCAGCGCCTGTGGCTCAAGTGGCTAAGGTGCCAGCCACATACACCTAAGGTGGTGGGTTTGAATCCAGCCCGGGCCCACCAAACAACAATGATGGCTGCAACCAAAAAACAGCTGGGGGTTGTGGTGGGCGCCTGTGGTCCCAGCTACTTGAGAGGCG